ATCTCAGGAGTGATAAGGGTGCCTTTTGCATGTTAATGAGATGACTGGTGGCCAGGGATCCCCTGTAGCTTCAGGATGGGAGCTGGGTCACCTGAAAGACCAGGGCAGGATTGGAGGGTTGGAATATTCAGCCCCACCTCCTAACCTCTGGAGAGGGGAGACAGCTGAGGCCAATGATGTAATCAATCCTGCCTACATACTGTGTTTCTCCGAAAATAAGACAGGGTCTTATATTTATTTTTCCTCAAGAAGATACCCTAGGGCTTATTTTCAGGGGATGTGTTATTTTTTTTAACTATGGTACAACAATCTATATTTATTCAAATATAGTTAAGTTGTCTTCTTCTGGAATATCATCATAACTCTCCAAACCCCGAATTCCATCCTGAATATCTTTCGACTCTATTTCCTTTAGAACCATTGGCCCTGATCTCTCATGTTGAGCAATAGAGCTCTCATGGGGCAGATGAGAAGGGCTGCTCGTCTTCTTTACCGCTCCACGATGAAATGCATGGGTTGTGCAGATGCGCTGCTTAGCCACGCCCATCACTAGGTGTTATTATGGGGTAGGGCTTCTATTGCACAAATGCTTAGAAATCTTGCTATGGCTTATTTTATGGGTAGGTCTTATTTTCGAGGAAACACGGTATTGAAGCCTCCATGAACACCCAGAAGGATGGGTTTAGGGAGCCAAATTCACGGAGGTTCCTGGAGGGTGGCTCTCCTGGAGAGGGCCTGGGAGCTCCACGCCCTTTCCCCCATGCCTGCCCTGTACATCTCTTCTATGTGGCTGTTCATCTGGATGTTCTGGAATATTCTTTATAATAAATGGGTAAATATAAATCAAATGTTTCCCTGAGTTCCGTGAGCCCTCCTAGCAAATTAATAGAACCTAAGGAGGGAAGAGTAGGAACCCGAGTTAGAGCCGGGGATAGGGAAGTACAGGTCACACTGGGGAGTGCAATTGGCATCCAAAGTGGGGGGGCAGTCTTTCAGGACTGAGCCCCCACTTAGCCTGTGGGATGTGATGCTACCTCCAGGCAGAAGGTGTCAGAACTGACTGAATTAGAGGGTGTCCTCCAGAGAAGTGCTTGATGTGGGGGGAAAATCTCCATGCGTTTTGGTGGCCAGAGGTGAAGCGTTCTGTGTCGTATTAAGTGTGTGAGTAGGAAAAGCACTTTGTTTTCTCCCTGTCTCAGTTTCCAAAAAAGCTAGTTGATGCATCAACATTTAAAAGCCTGAGATTTCTCGCAGCTGTGGGCCTGACCCCTTGAGCCAGAGGCAGGGCCTCTGAATTCTTTTCGGGCTGTTTGCTTTTGACTCTACAAACTGCTTGAGGGGAGGGAGTTTGGCCCCCTGCGGTTCCAACAGAGACCTGAAAGCGGGGGACCCACCAGCTTCTCACCCGTCCTCCTGCAGGGCGCTAACCCAGGGACAGGCCGCTAGATCTATAAATGGGCACAATTCCACCGCAGGGATGAGGGGGAAATAAACCACCTAGGCAATCCTCTGAGCTTCCTTCATCATTATAGCACAAATAAAAACAAAACCCTAGAAACCTTCTCCTCTCCCTTTCTCCCACAGCAGACTAACAATTAAGGCCCCTGCAGACACATGTCAGGATCTGGCCCTCCCAGCTCACACACACAGAGGTCCTGATTTGAACCAGGGTGGGCCTGGCACCGCCTCCCCAAGGAAGGCCCTGGGCCTCAGCCTGACCCAGGGCTTCCTGCACCAAAGGCCTTTGGAGAGGGGTCTGTAGCCGGCACTCCATCGGCTGCTGCCCCTCTGCCTTCACACACTTTTGGCTCCTGCCAGGTTAATTTGGGATCCTAAGGCAACCTGTAATCCTGACATGTCTCTTGGAGCCTCAAGGAAGAGAAGAGACCAAGCTGGTCGTGGCCATCTGGATCCAGAGCCCCTGGACAGCAGTGATGGGACAGCCAGAGGCGGCCAAGAATGAGCAAAGGCAGAGATGTTCACTTCTGCTTCACCCCCCACCACTGTGATGAGTCCCTCCCAGGCACTGACCCCCGCTCGGCCCTCTCTAAAGCCCCACCTCCCACCTCCTCTCCCCCAGAGTCAAAACCCGATTTCCAGAATCATCTCAACAGTGACTTAGAGAGACACAAGCTTATCCATGGAGCCCATCACCTAGACTTCTTTGCCATACTGGAGAACAGAGCAGGCTGGGAGGGGCACAGACCCCCAGATCCCTAGCCTAAGGGGTGGCCTGTGGGGGCATGGACAGGACAGCTCGTGGCTGTGCAGCTTCATGGTTAGAGCACAGCCCCTGGAGCCAAGGGTGGCCACCTCCATGGCTGACTCCCTGTGACGACTCTGCTGCAAACTGGGCCAGCCCCCCGAGCTCGACTGCTGTCCTGGGCGCTGCAGTCACCATCATTTCATGAGCTGCTTGTCTCATTACCAGGCACAGCAGTAACAACTGTGGACATAATTAAATACATGTCGGGTTAACTTAGTTGTAATGGTTATTTGATTGCAACACGGAGCTGTATGGAAGCTTGGCTGAACGTGAAGCAGGACGTTAATTCCCCAAACCCTGAGAAGACAGAAAGAACGGGGCCCTGGCCCTGACAGAGCATGTCCTAACTGATGTCCTGGGGCCCCCTTCGGGATGGCCGTCACAATGGTTGGCCACAGGCTCAGAACTCTCCACTGCCCAGGCCTAAGGTCCTAAGCCCCTTGGTAGGGACACTAAGCTCTGGGACCCGGGCCTCATGTGACACTCCGGGACACGGATGGAAGCCTACCTTACTTCAAAGGTCTCCTAGGAAGTTCAGCTGCATAGAAGTGACATCAATAAATCCATCCCCTTAGGCACTGAGGCATGGTGGCCTTCCTCCCTCCCTGAATCTGGGCGTGTTCTCTGGCCCTCAGCCTGGTGCCTACTCTGCAGAGACCTGACTGTACATGGCCAAGAGGCCACTCTGAACGACTTCCAAGCCAACCAGAGGCCCCCACAACAACTCTATGCCCCGAGCTGCTAGGCATTCTAGGGGGACATTTTGTTAGTCTTTCAACAGAGCCCTAAAGCTAAGACACCTTCTCTCTCTCTCTCCCCCCACCCCACACCCATCCTACATACACATATCATACAACACACATGTGCACACGCCCCGCCTGAACTCCAAAATGCTGCAGATGGCTGCAGAAGGCCTGGCGGGCTAAGCAACAGTCCAGAAATCCCAGTCCTGAGGATTCTACACAAATGCCATCTCCTCACAGGATGAAGGAAAAGCCCCTCCCATGGCTGAGGTATCACTCCTTTAAAAGGACTGGTTGTTTTATAGATTATCCAAGCAGCTGTGGCTTCAGCCTCTGGACCGTATCCCCTGTAGCCGAATCTCCCTGCTGGACTTTTCTCTCGTAAGGGAAGAATCGGGGGAGGGCCGGGAGGAGCCGCTGCAGGAAGAGGAGGCCCCGTCTCCACACAGGGTGCATCTGCTGCCTTTTCCCCCGAGTCCCCAGGCAAGAAGGAGGCAGCAAGGACAGAGGCCTGCAGAGGGGTGGAGAGGGGTCAGCATGCAGCCGAGGACCACGGTCCCCTGTGCAGTCACGCTCCCAACATTGCAGCAAGGCGAGGTGGGGTGAGATGAGTGGCTGAAAACTGTGGCCATGGAGATGGGAGAAGGGTCCCCTAGCAGCAGCAAGGCAACTTCGATTTCAAAGCACCACTAAGGAGGGATGAAGGAGCCACATGTCCCCCTCTCCACCAGACGCTTAGCCTAGCATAAGCTACGTCACCTGAATCCGGGCTGCTTCGCTTTGTTAGAGCAGGGTGCCGGACATGGGGGCTGCTACGGTCTGAATGTTTGTGTCCCCCCAAACTTCATATGTTGAAACCAAATCCCCAATGTGATGGCGTTAGGGGGTGGGGCCTTTGCAGAATTAGGTGATTAGGTCATGAGGGTGGAGCCCTTGTGAATAGGATTAGTGCCCTTAGAAAGGAGGCCCCAGGGAGCTGCCTTTCCCCTTCTACCAGGAGGACACTGTGAGAAAACGCCATCTATGCACCAGAAAGTGGGCCCTGGCCAGGCACTGAATGTGGTGGTGCCTTGATCTTGGACTTTGCAGCCTCCAGAACCGTGAGCAGTGCATTTCTGCAGTGTATAAGCCACCCGGCTGTGGCATGTTTTTATAGCAGCCTGAACAGACAAAAGACAGAAGCTCTGTCCACATTTTCTAGAGGGTAGGTCAGACTAAGTGGAGTTTATGCAGGGAGCAGCCTGATGATGGAGAAGCCACAGTGCTGGCCTCTGGCCTCGGCAGAAACCACGAGACATCATGGAGGCTGACGTCACTGTGCAGCTGTGCGAGGGGGAGTTCCAGGACCGGCTCCAGGGCCTCTTAGCCTCTGTGCCAGGAGCCCAGCAAAGACCAAGGCCGAGGCCAACCCTGTGCAGGCACCAGCGGGAGTTCAGGCCACAGATGGCCCCACCCCTACCTCGAGTGTATTGTTCCCACACTGCCCGGCACAGGACACTGCCCATGAAGGACAGGTGGCTCCACTTCCCCCACCTCGCCCTGGAGGATCCAGCTTCCCCAAAACACTGGTGGAGGGGCTGGAGCAACGTCTGTGGGCAACATGGTGAGGCTGGCAGGGAGACCCTTGACATGAGCCCAGCATGTTCTCTTGACTGAGAAAGGAACTGAGCAAAGGCTTTGCACTCCTGTACTTTTCCCCAAGAATTCCACTTTAAAGATAAAGCGACAGAAGCCTGGGCAGGGAAAGGGCTCCTGGGGACACAGAGGTCAATGGCAACGCTCTCTGCAGGCCCTGGGCGCCCCAGCGGTTTTGCTCAGGTAGTAGCAGGCACCAGCCCGGGGTGCTGGCTCTGTCCACAGACTCTCAGAAGATGGTGTCCACTGTCTGCCAGTGTGCGGGTCTCCTACTGCCCTGACGCTGAGTACGCTGAGTACGTGGAGGGCCCATGGTGAGGAGGGAGGGAGAGAAAATGCGGATTCTGCACTCGTACCTGTTCTGCTCTGAGTCCTGCAGGGAGCTGCCCGAGTCCCAGTCCACGTCCCCCGCTGGTCGCTCTAGGACCCAGAACAGAAGCAGAGGTCAGGGCAGAGCTGGAAACAGGGCTCTCTGCTGCCACTTACTGAACATCCAGGAGTGGTGTTTGCTCACAATGGAATATTATTACTCAATTCTAAGAAACAACAGCGAACTAGCACCGTTTATGCTATCCTTGATTAAGCTTAAGCCCATTATCCAAAGTAAGGCGACACGAGATCAGAAAAATGGGCTCCACATGTACTCGCCATCATATTGGTACTGACTGATTACAACTATGGTGCTCAAATGGTGGTAGTGCCCACCAGGGATTCGGGAGTGGGAGGAGACCCACATCTTAGGGATATGGCGAGCACTGTGGAGGAGGAGGGCTTACCTCTAACCCTTCTAAGCTAGAGGCAAAGATATAAATGTAACCAAAATGTCAAAAAAAATCAAAAAAACATAACTAAACAAACAAACAAAAAAACGTTTATCAGGTGGCGGACAGGTGGGAGGGGGAGGATGGGAAGGGTGTATACTCACATAATGAGTGCAATGCGCACCACCTGGAGGATGGACACGCTTGAAGCTCAGGCACAGGGGAGAGGGATGGCAAGGGCAATATATGTAACCTTAACAATATCTGTACCCCCATAATATGATGAAATAAAAAGAGGAAAAAAATATATACTGCTCAATAGAACTTTAATAAAAATGGTGATCATCAAAAAAAAAAAAAAATTAACATCCAGGAGAAAGGTTTCCCCAGGAGCAATTTACTCCCCAGACAAAGCCAACACCCTGCCTGTGTCCCAGCCTGCAAGTGGAAGCAGAGCCTGTCATGGCAGCAGCCATGAGTCTGAGAGGACCACACACACCCACTCAGGCATAGGGTGATGGATGAGCCCATGAGTTTTGGGAGGAGAGGGAAGGAAGGGAGAAGAAGGTATCATCTTGGTCTGCATGCTTGCACGTGCCAGCGGTGCTACCAGCCAGCTCAACCCAGCTGACATGACCCTCGGCCTCTCTGTAGGGTGGGGTTCCTGTCTGTTTGTCCCACCAAGAGGGCAAAGCAGTCCACTGGGGGCTGAGGGCATGTCACTGGAGGGAGAAGCAAAGGCCACTCTGGAAAGGGCTACAAGCTCCAGGGACAAAGTCATGGAGCACAGAGGGCGGCTCCCACTGGTCGGGAGGGTCAGGGGCCCTTCAGCAGACGGGGCGGCTTGCGAGGTGGAAAAGAATCTATATCAAAGCTATGTCAAAGATGTCCCCAAATAAAAGGACATCCTAGTGATTTTGGTGACAGGCAACTGTGCTCTCCATCCTTGTCTGCTCCACCCCTCCGTGGGCACCCTCTTCCCCTTCTTCTCCGCTGGACCCTCCTGCTAACCCCCACCCAGCACCGAGCAAGGCCCACCTGCTGCAGCTCTGCCCCGGCATGGAGTCCTGGCTGGGACTCCCCCCTGGGAGGGGCTCCGCCTGGAAACACTCAGCATCTCCTGCAGCAGCAGGCGGCTCCTCTCCACCCGCTCAGACAGGGACAGGGCACTGCCTCCAGCGCTCCAGAGAACCCCCAGCAGGGCTGTCCTGGGGACAAAGTCCTCCTCAGAAGTCAGGGATGTGCTGTCCAGGTCTCCCTCTGTGGCCAAACAATCTTGAATTGGGGAAGAGCTTCCTTTCCTCGGGCTGGGAACATGGGTGATTCTGTGACCAGACCCGGGACCCCCAGGCTGGCCTGGAGTAACTCTGTGGACGGGGCTTTCTGGCAAAGAGCCAGGCCCTGGCAGCAGACCCCTCTCACCATCCGGGCATGTCCACATTGCTTCTGGAGGCCTGTTCCAGCACTCACACTCGGGGGCAGGTGGCCTGGGAGGCCTGAGTCCCCCATTCCTCGCAGGTTCCTCCTCATGGATGCTGCTGTTCAGCTGCCCGGCAGTGAGGTGCTGAGCAGGAGGGACCACCGCGGCATCTGGCAGGAAAGCCCCCTCTGACCGAGTGCTGGCTCCGCCTGCCTCCACTTGTCTGCATTTGGGTTTCCTGGGGGATGGCCGTTCATGGGAAGTGGGGCAGGGGCTGGTGCCCTGTTTACCTGCTGTCATCTTCGCCTTCAAAGCCCTCACCTTGAACTCCAGCACAGAGTGGCCTTGGAGCCGTGCCCCTCCTGCCCTGGGAGGCTGGGGGGCCATCATGCTGGATGTTCTGTCTTCCCGAGGGCAAGGCCAGGGTGGCAGGAAGTGTCCACTAACCAGCTGTGGTTCAGGACTACTTCTCTCCCCTGCTGACGTCACCACCATGGGGCTGGCTGTTCTGCTCCCTTTCTTGGGCACCCTGGAGGAGGAAACAGACAGAGCCCCTGAGACCCAGCACTGGGCCAGGTCCCACAGCCTCCCGGGTCCCTAAAGTGCATTGGCGTTGAACCCTATCCAGGTGAGAATGATCTGGAGACAGAGGACGATGGGAGGTCCTCTAGATGCTGTGAAAGCCCTATGAAAAGTAATCCTTGGACAATATAAACGTTATTGAATTTTTATTTCCAAGTCTGAGCAGTGCTCTAGTTTTTCTACCTCCATTTTATAGATGAGCAAAATGAAGCTTCAAACAACATGTAATCCCATGCCAAATGTGAACCAGAGTGAAAACCAGGGCAACTTCCCAATTCCTGGCCTCTTGCTTTGTTGAAGGGTGGTCTCAGCGCAGGATGTCGACATCTGCTCAAATGCAACAGGTTCTTTGCTTCCCCAGAGGAGCTAATGTGGATGGTGGATCTCAGGAAGATACCACACAGGATCTGACCCTCCAGTGGAAGATGCAGCATTCCAAAACCTAACCCCTGAGCCCAGGGCACACGCCACAGCGACCACAGAAAGGGCTGTGCTCAAAGGAAGACCACGATCTGTCACTAACTCCTATTGGGCATTTGCTCTGTGCCAGGCAGGACTGCAAGTGCTTTCAAACACACGCTCTCCAATAATCCTGACACAACTCTGCCAGAATGGTATTATTACACTGACTTTTACAGATGGAGAAACTGAGTCACAGAGAGATTACATCACATAGGCTACAGGGAGGCCAGTTTGGAATCCAAAGCTTCTCATTCCAAATCCAGGTTTTTTTCAAAACATCTGTAGGTGAGAGTGTTCATCCCGCAGAGGTTGGGTGACTTGCCAGCACAGCACAGCTCCGCAGTGGCACTGCTGATGTTAATGGCTTCCCAGGGGATGAAGTGAGCGGGGATTTTATTCATCAAGGTGTTAGGTGCATACATACATGCCACACAGTGTCTTAATATCTATTCTGCTCTCTGAGAAAATGCTACTTTAATATCATACATCTACATGTGCCCCACTTGAAGTAAACTTCGTGTATAAAAATCCATATGTGCATAAACTACAAATTACGGGTTAATTATTCACTTTGTACATTGACCAAGGATTCTTAAATGGCAAGTCCCTCTGCAGTAGTTTATTACAGTTCAATTTACACACAGTGTTTCAGTAATGCACATATTTTATAAAGCAAAATACACATCTAATGCAAAATGTCACATCAGTTTTAAGCCAGTGAAGTGTAAGGGTTATCTTCAAGAGGACAGAAGTCATTTGCTCTACCCATTAATCTAAAACAACGTACCAAGTTGATCTCTGCAGCCCAGCCGCCCCTTTCTTCCTCTCTTCTAGGTCCAATCCAGGAAACAGGGCATTAGAACGCAATAGGAGCAATGCCAGTTATATTAAAGGAACTTTTTGATGGGTAAAGTCGGGAACAGCATCCCAGAGATGATCCCTCTCAGAGACCTTAAAGCGTGAGACCCTCCCATGGGGTTCTCTGGGGAAGGTTGTTCAACTTGGAGCCGTGCGGCTCTGTGAACTAAGTACTGTACATACTTGCGCCAACTTCGAGAAGCTGAAATGAGAGGGACGTGGAGGGCGGGCCTCCCCCACGACCCTCGACCCTCGCAGCGCTGTGACGGCGGGAGGCCCGGTCCCCGCTCCGCAGGCCCGCCACCCCCGCCCGGCCTGCCGGCGCCTCGCCTCCTCCATACTCACTGAGGGCTGCCGCCCGCAGGTTCGGCCGCCGCCGCCTCCATCCCCTCCATCCCTCGGAGAGTCGAGGCCCTCCTCTAGCCCTCTGTCCCTCCCAGGCCCGCTTCAGGGTTCCAGGAGGGATGTCCAGCCCCGAACGCAGGCCGGAGGGAGTGCGGCCCGCAGGCCTCGCCCCTCGGGGCGCGGCCGACCCGGGGTCGGGCAGGGCCGGGCTGGGCCAGCTCCGCGCTCTGCGGGCCGCCCCGGGCCGGCGGGTCCGGCCGAGCAGCCGCCCCGCGGGCCGCACTCCCTCCCGGCGCGAGGAGAAGCGGGCGAGGGCGCTGCCCGGGAAGGAAGTGGCATCGGCCGCCGGTTCAAGGCTTTGCCACGAAGGGGAAAGAGGCCAGCCCGGCGCCTTCCCGCCGGGAAGGGAAAGCAGGAGCAGGGAGCGGAGAGGAGGGGCGGCGGAAGGGGCTGGAGGAGCCGGGACCTCGGCCTCCCCACCCCCAGCCGTCCGGCCCCTCGCCCCGCCGCAGCCCGCCGGCCGGACGCCCAGAGCCGGCGGAGCTGCCTCTCCCGGCCCGGGCTGCTGCCTCGCGGACGTCAGAGGTGCGGGGGAAACCGAGGGGCGGCCCCGAGTTTGGGGACCGCGGGGCCTCGCGCACTGCCTGGGGCGCTGCGAGCGCGCGAGGACCAGGGCCGCCTTCCCAGCGCCCGACCGAGCCCCTTCCCCGGGACCGGCGCGCGAAGGCGGAGGCAGAGCTGGGGCGCCGGGGAGGGGCGGCTGTGGGACGGGGCTCGGCTCTCGGGTGGAAGCTGAGGAATCGCCTTTGGACAACTTCCAGGAGGAGTCGGCCGCCCTCTCCGTGGGGCCGTCCCCATCGCCCTAGAGCGCCGTTTCCTCCAAGGTCAAGGTCATTTGTTTCCGCTTTCCAGAGGCGCAAGGGTACCCGGGAGCGGACACGGTCTGCCAAGGTGCCCGCCGCCTTGGGTAGGGGCCAGTTCTCAGGGTCCTGGGGACTCCTGAGCAGATCTTGTCACTTTCCCAGACCTGGGAGGAAGTAGCAACAAAGGGCTTTACCTGCAGCTGTGGACCAAACCAACAGTTAGTTTTCCTTCTCTTTCCACCCAGAGGGAGGTGACAGAGCCTCTCCTATTTCCAAGCCTACTTTTCCACAAAAGACGGGAAACAATGAGAGCACCCAGGAGTTTCGGAAAGGGAAAGTGCCCGTTCATCTTTCCTTCAGCCAACGAGAGCTTCACTCTGAAGCAGGGCGTGCTTACATTCGTGCACTACCGTCGTGATCTAGGTGGCAGACATATCAACAGTGAGGACAGTGTACAGCGTGCTAAATGTTGGAACACGGAGTGGACGGGAAGAAAGGTTTCTGGAAGGGGCATGCCTCTTTTTTTTTTTTTTTTGGAGACAGGGTCTTGCTCTGTTGCCCAGGCTACTAGAGTGCAGTGGCGTGATCAGAGCTCACAGCAACCTCAAACTCCTGGGCTCAAGTGATCCTCCTGTCTCAGCCTCCCAAGTAGCTGGGACTACAGGGGTCAGCCACCGCAGGCCGCCCACCTGTTCAGTAAGTAAAAGTTTTCCTGCAGGGGTGGGGAGGACAACAGCCTGAGAGCCCCTTTGGGGAGCTGTGAGTACCCTGGCCTCAGGCCAATTTAAGAGCCTGAGAGATTATCCAGGGCAAACCCTCTGTGTCATGGACCAGGCCCAAGGTCACACAGCTTTAATGATAGGTGGTCACCAGGGTCTGGAGCCCCTTCTTCCTGCATGTTCCCGGAGCAGGCAGTTCCTCAGACAGGGCATTTACTTGCTCTCTGATCACTTTACAACGTAGCAACTGGTGCCACTTATGGAGGGCATACCGTGCCCAGGCTCTGGCTACGCACCTTACGTTCCTTATCTCATACTGCAACCTTAAGAGACGGGTACTGTCTATTGTCTCTTTTCTCCAGAAAAGGACATTGAGTCTAGGTGAATGCTCAAGGACACAGCGCTAGTAAGTGGAAAGTCTTCTGGAGTCTGAGCCCCTCACGTCGACACACTGCGCAGTGCTGTCGCCAGCATCTGCATGTTCAGCATGGAAAGATTTAGTTAAAATCAAAAACTTTGTGAAACAATCATGAAGTGCTGTGACAGTCGAAGGTGCTGCCTCAGTGGTGTGGTCTGCCCTCTCTGGATCCTTTCTGTCTCTTTCTTGCCGAGGTCAAATCCTGAAACCATGCAAGACTCCCTCCTCTCCTCCATGAGCAATGTCAAACCTGACAACTATGCTGTTACTATTACTGGGGACACCTGTGAGCTAAGGTAGTCCACACAGGATCTTTTACATCTTTACAACATTCATGCAAAATAGGTATAGCGTAGCTCCACTTTGGGGATAAGGAAATCGGGGTTCAGAGAGGTTAAGTGACTTGCCTAAGGCCACACCACTAACACAGCGAAAATCTGAACCCAGTTCTGTCTGGTTCGAAGATTTTCTGCCCTTTGTCCTCTTTTTAGAGGCATCTCTGAGCTCAGACTCCAAGGTAATTTCTCCCTGACTCCTGCTCCCAGTCTCCCCCAGAAGTTAATGATCTATAAGACAAGTTTCTGAAAGTTCCAGCCAAGGCTTAATGTTTAAGGGAAACCCACAGCCCAACCTTTCGAGATACATATAATCACCTTCAGTTTACTTGGGTTACATTTGTTATGTTGCAGGGGGGTGGGGATGTCACATCTATACATAGGCTTTAAAAGCCACCTGTCCTAAAGACTTGAATGAGCAAATCCTTAGAATGATATTAAGTTGTCCTGACACCCACATGCCAGAGGGCACTTCTTATTCATGTGGATTCTGTTGGGTTCAGCAGATACCTGTGGAGCTCCTATTCTGTGTCAGGGACTGGAGAGGCAAAATTTAACACCACAGAGACTCTGCCCTTGAGGAATTTCTGGTCCAGTTGAGCAGGGGACAGACACATGAACTTTCCGTGCAAGCGCTCCCATCGAGGCCAACGCATCGGGGTGTATGTCGCTCACTGGAAAGGGTGGATTGGGGGCTGTGTTGAATGAGAAGGGGCATGGGACAGAACTGGGTCTTAGAGAACAAGCAGGAATTAGCCAGGCAGAGGGGGAGGGGTGGGAGAAGTCATTTTAGGTGAAGAGATTAGCATAAACACAGGCAAAGAGGTGTGCAACTGCCTGGTTTCAGAGTTACTAAGTGTAAAATTTAAACTGGGAAAGGGGGGTAGGTGAGTGAGGCCTCAGAGCAGGGTGGTGAGTCCTGGTTGAGGGCCTCAGGGGTCTGGCTGAGGAGATGGGACTCCATTCTGTGACATGGGAGTCCCTAGGGAGTGGACCAGACCACACCTTAGCCCTTGAGCCTGGCACATTTCTGGGCTGAGAAACTACCTCCCTTATGTATCAGACCCTTTCATTACCATCTTTTGGAGAGAAATCTAGGATGAAAACAAATATATGGTAAAGAGCGATCATGTAGCCATCTTCTTCCATTTGAACAACTAGGGAAACCCACAACCCAAGAAGCCCTTGACTTCCCTTGGATGAAAACACAAGCCTCACACTCCTCCCAACCCCCCCCCCCAGCATGCTCTGAGCAGACGGCTGGAAAAAGGAGGCATGTGGGTGTGGAAATCAGGTTTCACTTAGGATGAAGGGAAAGTGAGGGAGACAGTCCTTTGAGGCCACACTGGTAGAGCCTGGTTGAGTAGGAATGGGCTAGGGGGGACACCTCTGGTCCCTCTACTATGCAGCCTAAAGGAGCTTTCCAGCTGGAACCCCGAATTTCCTGGCCTCTCCTGTCTTGGTCATGGGCATGTGGTCCAAGGAGCAAAGGAGGCAGCTCATGCCAGCAGCACCTGCCAAGGACGGTCATTCTCAGCCCCAGGGCCTTCCCTCAGGCCCTCATTGTCTCTTGCCAGTGGAGGAGTAATGGGTCTGCCATGTGCCTGCCTCTTTCCTGCTTAAAACCCTCCCTGTGGCTCCCGGGGCCTAGTCTGCCTCAAGGCCGATTCTGAGGTCACACAGTGGAGATGCTGATTCCTTAGGTTGGAGGAAGGCCCAGGAATCTGTTTTCTTTTTTTTTTTTTTGAGACAGAGTCTCACTTTGTTGCCCAGGCTAGAGTGAGTGCCATGGCGTCAGCCTGGCTCACAGCAACCTCAATCTCCGGGGCTCAGCGATGCTACTGCCTCAGCCTCCCGAGTAGCTGGGACTACAGGCATGCACCACCATGCCCGGCTAATTTTTTGTATATATATTTTTAGTTGGTCAATTAATTTATTTCTATTTTTTGGTAGAGACGGGGTCTCGCTCAGGCTGGTTTCAAACTCCTGACCTTGAGCAATCCGCCCGCCTCGGCCTCCCAAAGTGCTAGGATTATAGGCGTGAGCCACCACACCCGGCCAGGATTCTGTTTTCTAATAAGCTTCTTGGGGGACTGTGAGGCCTAATCAGTTTTGGGGAGCACAGGTCTTCAGGTTAAGACGCAGACTCCTTCATAAGGTACACAGGTCCCTCTAGCCTCATCTCTCACCACTCCTGGGAGCCCCCCCCCATACCCCCACCATATTGAAGTGCTTCTAGTTCCCCAGCTGGCTGTGTCTCCTTGCCTTTGCCCAGGCCTTCCCTCAGCCTGAGATGCCTGCTTCACTCTACGCACTCACATCCTGCTCTGACTGAACTGTGCTCCCCCCATATGTTGAAGCCCTAACCTGCAATGTGATGGTATTAGGTGAGGCCTTTGGGAGGTGATCAGGGTTAGATGAGGCCATTGAGGGTGGGGCTCCCATGATGGGATTAGCGCCCGGATAAGAAGAGGCACCAAGAGCTTGCTGTTTCCCTGCCCACCTCCTCCTCACCAAGTGGGGACATAATGAGACAGGAGCTGTCTGCAAACCAGGAAGAGAGCCCTCACTGGGACCCGATCATGCTGGCATCCTAATCTCAGACTTTCCTCCTCCAGAACTGTGAGAAATAAATTCCTGTTGTTTGAGCCACTCGGTCAATGGTGTTTTGTTATGGCAGCCTGAGCAGACTAAGACACATCCCCACCCTAATTTGGCTGTCTCCTGGCAGACCTTCCATACTCGGCTCAAATGTCACCTCCTCAGGGAAGCCTTCTCTAACACCCTGTAAATCCTGAGCTGGGTTAGTGCACCTGCTTCTGTCAGACCACTGTCACACTGAATTGTACACATTTGACACATGTGTGTCCCCACTCACAGAGTCTGGCCTCTAATGTGCCCATAACACAAAAGGTACCGACCAAATGCCAGACGGAGAAATGAAACAAAAAAATCCCTATCAGGAAAGGCTGCCTAAGAGAAGAGGGCAGGGCACTGCTTGCTCAGAGGACCAAGGTCATTTCTGAAGGATTTGGTTGGTCCACTCAGTATAGCCAGTCCTGCCCCAGCCCCTGCAAGAAAGTTGGCCACTGGCAGGGCAGGGCCAGTACCCAAGCAGCCTGATTGAACCCCGTGTACACCTGATGTCCAGGCCTCCTTGGC